CCTCCTCCTCCTCCTCCTCCTCCTCCCCCTCCTCGCCCCTCGCCCCGCGCGCCGAGCCTGGCGAGGGCAGGGCGGCCGCGGCCCGCTCGGCCTGCAGCGCCTGGGCGGCCCACTCCTGGTTGCGGGGGCTCGCGCTAACCTTGGGTCGGGCACGTCCTCCTACAGGCGGGCTTTGGAAGAACACTTTAAAGCATACAGCTACTCAAACATAGTAGAACAACACAATCAAACAACAAAAAAACGTCCCCTGCCGTGCTGTGCTATTCCTGACCATTCCTCCTGCAGAGGGGCATGCACGACTTCAAGCTAGACAATGCTTTCTGTTGCGACTTGGCTTCGCTTTCCTTCGTGTTGTCTTCGCCCCGCTATGCTGAAAAAAACAACGGAATTCAGACAACAACCGCCCACGAAACATCGCCAGAAGAACACCGCTCAGCTCGGGCCCTACAGTCGGGGGCTTGACCTAAGGAACCCAAAATAAGGAACGAGGCCCCTTTTTTCCATGAGTTCAACTGAAAACATAAGGAAAACCTGAGGCAAGCTGCGAAACACTTAAGGAATGCGGAGCCCCTCCCCAACGAAAAGGGTTCCTTCTTCAGGGCCCCGACTGTAGAGCTGGAGTGTCCACGACAGCAGGCCTGGCAGGTTCGGCCAGCATCGAGGCACAGAATCGGGTCGGATCGGAAGACGATCGGATCGCTCAAGCCTGAGCTGGATCAGGTCGCCAAGCACGGATCGGAAGGTGACAGGAACGCATCTCGGCATCGCCCGGACGTCGACTCCCCGTGAATGTTTCGGCTTTTTGCGTGGCAAGTTGATCCAAGGTGCTCCTCGATGGTCATCGCCGAGAAACGTGCACGCGTTCGAGCGATACCAAGGCACAAGAGCGCGCCCCGAGCGGATCTGGAGGGGGTCGCCTGAGGCTGCGTATCGAGCTCGGTCCCCGCGCGGGCAGGAGATACGATCTACATGGGGTCGGAGGATCGCGCCGCATCCCCGATGCATCGGCGATGCGTCGGCGATGCGTCGGCGATGCATCGGCGATGCACCGGCGATGCACCGGCGATGCATCGTCGACGTGGGCGATGCATCGGCAACGTCGACGTGAAGCAAATCGGGTCCCACATCGAGCCGCGTTGACGATACATCGGCGATGCGGTGTGATCCTCCGACCCCATCTACTCCGACCCCATCTGGGAGGCCCAGAGAAGCGCGATCGGAGTCGAAGCTTTGGGATCGGATCGGATGGAGATCGGACCGCGCGCCGCCCTGTTTGGCGACACCCAATCCCCGAATGATAGGGGGACTCTCCGAGGCCCCCGACGTTGTGCCATCTTCACACCGTGGACCCCCAGAGGTCTGGCCCCGTTCCGGGGGGCTGGCTCTTCGTCCCGACTCGGCGCTTGACGATCCCACAGCCCGGCGAGGGCCCAGAGAGGACGCCATTTACAACAACACGAGAACCATCGGTGGTGTTTTTTTTTCCTCGACGCGAGGGGATCTGGGGTCCATGGGCCAAACACTATGAGGCCTGACTCGAGGACCTACGATGCAGAGGGCGCCCATCCTCGACAGGGGGGCGTCCGAATGGCCCCATGGCCCACCGCCTTCCGGCGTAAGACTTGCTGACGTGCCCGGGCAAGGGCCTGGCAGTGAAGCCAACATCGGCGACACGTCGGTCACATCGGGATGGAGAAGACGGAA